ACAGCCGGTCGCACAGCAGCCGAGGCGGCCCGGCCGAGGCGGCGGCCGCCCACCCGAGGGGAGGTAGCTCCGCGGCGCGGTGGAACATGCTACGTCTGGCCGCGAGGTGGGTGTTTTGAACCCGCGGCGGGGGCGGCGCCGTCCCGCGGGCGTCATCCCGGCCCTGTGCTTGGAGTGTGTGTATACAGACCACACTCGCGGTGCTTTTCCTCCTCCTTCGCAGCCGTCATCACGGCCCCGCACACAGCCCCGCACCGAGCGGGCGGAGCCGGGCGGAGCACCCAAAGTGTATACACTGGACCCAAACCACTTATCCAAGCAACGGAAGTTGGCGATTCCAAGTAGCAGTGGCGGTGCCCGGGCAGCCGCGTGGCTAATTAAACAGCACACGAGCTCTCTGGGCTCCGGCACAGTTCGGCTCAGCTCCGCACAGCCTCCGCGCGCCCCGCGCCCTGCTGGCCCGCCCTCCGCCCCGCGCCCCGTCAGCGTCTCGCCTGACGCGCCAATTCCGCGAGCGTCACTGAATAATTGCAGCGCCAGGAGTGGCGGGCCGGGCGGAGGGCGGAGGTGTCCAGGGGTGTCTGAGGGGCTCCAGGAGGAGACCCGAGAGGAGATCAATGCAGAGGCGAGGAAGGGAACTCCACCCCGCCCGGCCCCGGCCCCGCTGACTCGATTGACCTTTCGCTGAAAGCCCCCCCCTATTCATATCAAGTTTTGTTCCGCCTCGACCCCCTTCCCTCCTTCAAAACTTATTGTTGTAAGTACACAAAGAAAAATACGCGCATAACATAGTTGCGAAAAATCGCAAAAAAATATCGAGAAATACCACTGGCCAAATACTTGTGTAAACTCACCAATACTCTTGAATACTCGGGTGTACTCGCGAAACTCATTGCGCCGGGTGTAACTGTGAATACGCAGCTGTTGTGGGTTTGCCTACTATTTACCCAGTGAGAAATGAGTTTTCTTGAAAGTCGATTCGACGTCGAAACAATCGAATAAACGTCATTTTGTCCCCCAAATCCACATCTTTTCAATATTTTGACGTCGATACGTTCCCATTTCTCTCTGGGTTAAACCACCCTGCTACCGTCGCTCACCGCGGCGCCTTATGACCCCGTGCGGGTATGCAACCCACCCGCACGCCTGCATCCGGTACAGTATAAGCAAAATAAAGGAAGGATCTCTGGACCACCCTGTACATACCAGGTGGCTGTTTCACCCCGCCCACCCCCGTAGTCATGTTGTACCGCATTCCTAAGTGCGGTCGAGTTGCCTACTCACTCGGCCCGTATGGCGCCGTGGTCAGGGAAGCCCGCCCTGCCGCCTGCGTGCTGTGCAGTAGAACTAGAGAAGTGCGCGGGGTGAACCAGCCACCTGGGAATTAGTAACAAACTAGTAACAATATTGCAACCGAGTGTAGTATATGCGCTCCTGTGTTGCAAACGCTCTAAGCTGACTGTCTCCTTTTAATACGGTTGCAGCCTGCGGCTAGACAGCACCAGCAGTGAACTTGTTTTTCTTCACCCATTCAAGAAAAAGAGCACAATTGAATGGTCACTTTTCACCGTTCTGACAACATTAACGGACCCCGCTGTTTCACTAGAGCAATTTTCTCGCTGTCGCAGCAAAGAAGAAGCAAGGAGGAAGATGCTTCATGAACATGGCGGCCGGCCGATGTGTTTGTTTATATGGTCCGGCCTCGCCACCCGCCATGATCGCAAAGTAACCTCTGCCTTCCTCTTCTTTAGCGGCAGCGGACAAATTGTTCATACACACTTAAAGCTTACGAACATTTTAATTCATGGCTTACTGATTTCTGTGTACGTGCTCTGCTTACGCATTTTTAAATACGCCGCGGTGTGAACAAATTTGTTCATACTGGCGTATTAAAAAATGCGTAAGCAGAGCACGTACACAGTAAGCTATGAATAAAAATGTTCATAAGCTTTTAATGTGTAGGGAGGAGAGACAGCACGCCCCCATTCGTATCACGCGCGCTCGCGCACGGACGCACGCACTGCGGCTCCTCGCCGTGCAGCGCTAAATAAAAACCAAACCGTCGGATGGATCCGTTGGGGACCTCCACTGGGCCGCGGACGGGCCGCGGGGCGGCGCGGCCTTGCCTCATCCGCCCGCCCCGCCCCTCTCCATCCTGTACGCCCTGCATCCTGCGCGCCCACACGTTCAACAACCCACCAGCCCATTTGCAAGCAAACATCGTCGTCGTCGCCGTCGCCGTCATTGCCCCTTTCGAATTTGCACTTTTGGTGAACTCAGCGGTCGGGGGGCGGAAAACCGGTCGGAGAGCGTGCAAAAAAGAACCGCGCGGGGAGAGGGGGGGGGAGGCAAAAACTCCGCCCTGTGAGCTGTGCCCTTTTGTGTGGCCCCTCCCTCCCCTCTATCGCTGCTTCCGGTGCGAAATCGACTTCCTCAAACAACGACACTACAGCGTTCTTTTATTAACGTACTCGGAACGGATTCCCACGCATGGCATCCGGCCGAGGAGGAGAAGACGACGGCGGCGACCGGAACCGGCGGACTTCCGTCCGTCTCAACGGACAAACACTCCGACCGAGCGGGCCGGGGGGCCAGAGGGCGCGGCGGCCGAGAGGAGCGTCAGGTGCAGTCGCCGCGGCGGGGCGGGCCGGGACACTTCCGGTCCAGCGCGGATGGGACGAACCCTCCCGTGGACGTGGAGGCCCCCCCCCCCCGCACTGAGCCAATACCGAAACACAAAGTAATCGTGATTGGACGCCTTGGTCCAGTTGAGGTTGGGCCCCTCGGCTCAGTCTTGTGGCGCGATCGGCTTCTACTGCGACAATGGGAAACACCGTTCAACAGGCTGACGGCTCTGATGGCTAGGTAGAGATTCAAGTTCCCCTGGGTTACACCTCACCCGAAAACCTCTAGCTGCAACCCGAAAAGGCGACCGACCTCCCTGAGCGCGCGCCATGTAACCGGCGAGCACCCTGTCGAGGGCCGCGTGGCCAGGATGTGGTCACAAAGCGCTGTGGTCAACCATATCACCTCCAAAGAAACAAGTGGGGCACCATAACAGTGGACCTTTAGGAACGAGTATTGGAACTTAAGCTCAAGGCACCTTAAGCTTAAGATACATGTTCTTTAAGGAATGAAAGCTGCACCATAAGATGGAATGCTGCTCAATAAGTTTGATGCAACCTCAGGAGCGAGGCCGGCCCGCGCCGCCGCGGCCAGGTCCCCGCGGGCGCGGCGGCCGGCGCGTGTCCGTCAGCGCGGGGTGCGGTTATAGCCCGCGCTGGCCCCGCGCAGCCCGGCACGGCGCAGCACGGCACACTGGCGCGGGCGGGCGGGCCCCGGCCTGGGACTCTTCGCGATAGCGCGGACAAAACCCTTCGCGAAATCCCGCAGACGCTTCCCCAACCCAATGACAAACGCAATGGCCTGAAAACGGGCAGTTCCAAGAGGGCGGCCTTACTCTGGGGGCCCCCACAGCCCCGGCCCGGGGCAGGCCCCCAGTGGGAGCAGGTACCCCCACCGGGGCCCGGCGGGGCCCAGCGGGCATCGCTTCCAGCAAACTGGTGGGATGACTACTCGTTAGCGCGTTTCCCAGAGCCGGGCTGGCTCAGCAGCTCTGCCCGCGCCATGGCTGCCCCTCGGGCTGCCCCCTCCCACTCATTACAACGCGAGTTAGGCCGTTCTCACGCGCCCCTTTTAAATACCCACGCCCGGCCTGGCCAGCCCATGGGGCCAGCCCGGCCGGCCATACCGCTCCCACACGCAGATCCGGCCCGGCCGGCAGGCCCCACACTCGCATTCCCTCGCGCCCCGCCTCTCGCGCACACCTACGTGCCGCGCCGCGCTTGTCCAACACTCGCATTGGCACCCGGCGTCCGGCGTTCGACACGAGCACGCTGGCCGCCAGCTGGGGCGTCCGGTCCGCGGGGGTTTTCTGGCCGGAGAACGGCGTGAACGTGCACGGGGCATGGCCCATGCTGGGATCGGGCCACCCCCAGCTGCACCCGGCGGCCCCTCCCCTACCCCTCCGAGTCGGACTCTCCCGCCAGTGTTGGCTTACAGGAGCCGATCGGCCTCGCGGATCAAGTTCAATCCACGGATCCCCTGGGAACCGTGCGTCTCTCCTCTGCTGGCTGGCCCGCGAGGCGACCGGCCCCAGCCGCCACACTTGTCACTCCATCGCGATGCTCGGTCCACGGCCGTCCTGAGCGTGGTCGCGGCCCGCCCGGCCCATGGCCCGGCCCCCGCACCTCCCACACCGTGTTGACTCGCGGCCGGACCAGAGCGGCCCGTCGCGCACGCTGCAGCACTCGCCTCGACCAAACTTGAGGCCGCGCTGGGCGAGCCGTGGCCGTGTCCGGGCGGGCCGGTGCTTAGGCGAGTACGACCGTAGGCAGCCGTAGGCAGAGACGGGACGAGACGAACCAGAGTGGGCACGACGCAACGTAGGCGCTGCAGCCCGAGGAGGCGGAGCAGAGCAGAGCGCTGGCGTGGCGTGGGGCGTGGGGGCCCCGGCCGTCCCGGCCCTGCACTCTGTTGCACTACAGGGTGTTCAACAGCCAGGGTCCTGCGGTATGCCTGCGGCTCCACCTGCCTGCCAGCGCCGTCTGCCCGGTCGGCTGCAGCGCGCTGCCATGGCTGGCGGAGCGGCCATTGCCGAGTTTCCATCTCGCTTTGTTTACTAACAGTAACGTCCTGGCCCCGTGTGCCCCACGTGTCGGCCGGGGACGCGGTGCAGCCGGCTGCAGTTGCATTCTGCACTCCTGCAGGGAACAGCAGACTTCAGGAGAGGATCGGAAAACGGGCAGGCGAAGGAGCAGGAAGAACAGGCGGGCCCGGCCAAGGGGCCCGGCCCAGCAGGACGGCAGACCGGGCAGACCAGGCAGGCAGCCCCGCCGCCGTGGCCCCGCCGGGCCCTGCGGGGGGAGGGGGGGGGGACATCCTGTTGTGTTGTGATATCCCTCCCCGGGCAAAGCACCTGTAAACGCTCTCGTACTCACCTTCAAGGCACACCACCTGGCAGCCATCTTGCTTAAGCCTCCTGGCCACCACCTGCAGCGTGTCGACGGCGGGCGTGTCGTCGGCGTACACCACGAACACGCTGTCCTTGTAGGCGGAGGTGATGCGCTCGCGCAGGTCGCGGCACTTGATGGTGGACGCCAGGTCGATCTTGCCGGCGCCCAGGCGGCGCAGCATGATGCTGGGGATGCTGAAGTTGACGGCGTGCCGGATGTGGGACTCGGCGAAGTCGTGCGAGGAGCGGCAGTCCAGCGTCACGAGGCGCGCCGCGTCCTGGCGGAGCTCGCGCAACAGCCAGTCCCTGCTCACCCACTGCGGGCTGTCGCTGTCCGACGGCATGGTCACGTCGCGGATCACTTATCGCTGCACACCATAACACCACAACAACACCGCTCTCGCTCTCCTGTCGATCTCGCGACGCCTCGGCTGCGCTCGGCGCTCACTGTGTGCGCTCTGCACTGTGACTGTGAGGGTGAAGCGAGGCGCGGCCGCGCGGCGGGCTGGGCCCTGGGCTGGCAGCCTGGCTGGGCTCGCTCGGCTGCTCGCTGGGGCCGCGCCCGCCTGCCTGCCTGGCTGCGCGCCTGGCTGCCTGCCCGCCCGCCTGCGCGGGCTCTGCTTGCTGGTGCTGTGCTGCGGTGGTGGTGCCCCTCCCCCGCCCCTTCACCCCCCCTCCCCACACCGAGAGGGGCGACGGCTTCCCCCTCCACTGCTTCGCCGAGTCGAGCCAAGTCGAGGCGGGCCGAGCCGTGCCGAGCCGGAGTGGGGCCCACCTCACCTACCGCCGCCCCAGCCCCGCCACCTCGGCCCCAGCCAGTGCTGGCGCGCTAGCGCTGCCAAGCCCAGAGCCAAGTTCATTCAGGACCTCCACCTTCCCCCTACGCACCTCGCACGCACCCCTCCCCCCTCCCCCGGCCCTCGGCCCGTCCCTGCTGCGCTCGGGTCGGTAGGCGCCATTCGGCAGGGGCGTCTCCTAATGAATGGAATGTGTGCATTCCTCTCCTTGGCATAGCTGTGCAGCACACAGTGCAGCCTGCGGCCTGAGGCCGGCTGCGCCCCGCGCTGCGCCCCGCCTGCCCTGCGGCCTGCTTGACCTGTTGCTGGAGTGCGGCTCGAGTTGGCGCTGCAGCCTGTGTCCTGCGAGGGTCCTGCGGCCGGGCCGGGGAGATCTAGAGGGCCTCGGGGAGGGAGCCGGAGCCGACGACACGCTGGGGTCGTTGCGAGGACGAGCCTCACGGGCCAGGGAGAGGTGGTTGGCCCGGCCCGCCCCGCCCCGCCCCTCCCTCCGGTGTAGGTAAGTACGGAGAAATGCTAATGCTCGTGGAGATGAAAAAGGGAAAGGTTACTGGTTACTGCCTGTTACTGGAAGCAAGGGGGAGGGGGCAGTCAACTGGAGCAGCATCACAGGGAAATGGATCGATCTTGATTAATGCACATTCGCTTTATCGGAAAAGAGAAGCTATTTGTCGTATCTGGGATATGGAGTAAAATTAGGGCCTCGAGTGGCTGAGCTAGATCTGGAAATGAAACGATAACAAACCATCAAATAGGTACTAAAATTAGTGGCTGGGCGGTGTCCAGAGACTTAACTAACATCATGTCTGACCGATCATTCGTGCAAAAAACGCAGTTCTCAATGAGAGAAAAAATGTTCTCGTTCTGAGAGCAAATTTCTGCTTTATTTGAGTGGCGATTTTTATTGATCCAAGTACATTTCATGCTTACACGTTCCTGGATCGTTTCATTGATTCAAAAAAGCAAATCCTACTAAAAAAAATTGGTTTTGAGAAATTAAATTGTCTAGGCTACCCTTCTTAAAAAATGGCCCCAATACCAGCGGAAATTGTCAGTATATCAATGATAACAGTAATTCCATTCCGTTCTAGATGTAATAGACTACTTATCAATTAGTGAAAACGTTCTCAATTCCGGAGCATCATGAGATCCGTATAGTTCTGAACTTTTCTTTCTCTTAGAATCAGGAGAACCCCCTTTTCTGAGTGAGCGGAGTGGTGTAGTGCTAAGCTGCACCCGCCGCCACGCTTCCATATGCGGTTCAGGAAAAATTGCAAGACGCGACCCGCCCACATGGTCCTGGTCTGGTACGTACCTTGTGTTAATTGGCTGCAGAGCTATTGCTGGAGGATGCCAATCGGCTTATTGCATTCACGTGTTCATTTTCCGATGAAGCATTCCACCTCGCTGTGTTTCCGTGACACACTCCTATAGCGACGATACTTTCCAGTATGGTCCTCTCTGGTCTGGTCTGGTCCACTCCAGCATTTCTTCGAATCAAAAGGACGCGTTCCTAGTTCGTCTCCACTTCGGGCTCCGGCTGACGACCTGCTGACTGCTGACGGAGGACGGCAAAACATGCGGGGTGCCTACTTTCAGGGGCTCATTTTATTTCTCTGATGAAATATTGGC